CAGCCACTTGTAGTGGCCGTAGCGCGTGCGGAACGCCATCTTCCACTTGTCGCCCTTGCGGATCCGGACCAGGTTGTACGCGCCGCGCAGGTCGAACTTGGTGAAGAACCGCGCGCCCTGCAGCTGGTTCATGAGCTCCGAGATGAGCGGCAGCGCGTACCGGTTCTTGACCGTCAGGTTGTTGAGGCGGCGGTAGTCGACGCACATGCGCCGCAACCCGTCCTTCTTGGGCACGAACATGATCGGGGCGCCGGCCGGCGACCGCGACGGGCGGATGAAGCCGCGCGCGAGGTTCTCGTCGATGGTCCTGCGCAGCTCGTCGAGCTCGGTCTGCGACAGCGGGTAGATGGGCAGGAACAGCACCTTGGCGCCCTTGACGAGCTCAATTTCGCAGTCGTATGGCCGGTGCGGCGGCAGCGCGGACGCGGCCTCGGCGTTGAACACGCGCGACCACTTGGCGTACTTGAGCGGTAGCGTGACCTTGGGCGCGTCGCCGCCGTCGTCCGACCCGTTGGCCTTGTCCCACTCGTCCGGGTCAACGTCGGCGCGTACCAACGCCGCGGCCACCGTGACGCGCTTGCCCGGCGGACAGCCGCAGCAACCCGCACAGCCGCCGTCGATCTCGACCTCGCGCGCGCGCGGACGCGGGTCCGCTCCATTTGCAACGAGCCACTCGAGGCCAAGGATCACGGGAAACGCGGGCGAGTCGACGACCAGGAACCGCGCGACTGAGCAGTGGAGACACGGGATATCAATCGCTTTGTTGGCGTCACCGTCTCGGCGGTGCGGCGGAACGTACAGCTCCGGTTTCCCGCCCTTGGGCGGAACGACGCCATTGCCAAACATGGCCGTCGTGCCCGCGAGCGCCGCATGCATGAACTTGGGGGACGTCACCGACACAACCACCCGCACGGCGTGCGTGATGTACTGCTGCCCCGCTGCAGCCCCGACCACGCCGCGCAAATCGATCCAGCGCGCCAGACGCTCCGTCACGAGCCCGACCCGCTCGGCCAGGGAGCGGCTAATGAGGTTGACAGGGGCGCCCGTGTTGAGCATCATGAACGAGAGCGCTGGCGCCTTACTCAAAGAACCCAGACACAACAGCGCGCCGCCGAGATGAAGATGAGCTCCTGGCGACGACTCTAGACGCACAACAGCACCAATGTACGAAAGGAGGGCATTTTCATTAGTCTTCGTCACAACACCAACAGCGTCGGCTCCGAACGCGCCGACCTCCTCCTCCTTGGCGACCGCCACCGCGGCCACCACTTGCGTACCACCACCCGAATCAGCAGGTTTTGGTTTCAAGGACGTCGCGGCCTGCTCCGCTACGCCCGACCGCCATTTCCCGACTCCTGCTTCTTTGGGCAGCGGCGCGCAATGTGCCCCATCTCGCCGCACGTCCAGCACCCCGCCGGGGGCCTCGGCTGCAACTGCTGTGGCAGCGCCACCGACGGAAGACGCTGGTGCTGGCCTGGGCAGCGCGCGGTGACGGCGCCGATGTCCATGGGCTCGCCGGCGTACTCCTCGACCTGGTGCGGGACCGCGAATGACGGCTGAGCCGCCGCGAATGACGGGCGCGGCGCGACTGGCATCAAGTACTCCTCGGACGCCTCGTTGGCCGCAAAGGCCGCGACCATGCCCTCAAAGTCCTTGGCCTCGTACGCGGCGTTGAACTGCGCGTTGCCGCCCAGCGTGACGGCCGGGTGCACCACGGTGCGGGAGTGCTTGCGGCTCAGCTGCTCTGAGACCATGTCTCCCGACATGGCCATGAGGCGGCGGTACTTGTCAATGATTGTGCCGGCCGCATGCGTGCCGCGGACGTACTTGAGGTCCATGAACTCCTGGAAGTACACGCGCGGAAGCTTGTTGGGCGGCAGCAGCGTGCGCACGGTCTTGGCAAACGCCTCAAACGACTTGCCGTTGTCGGCCCAGTCTGCACGCCTGTGGAACGCCGCGCCGACTGTCTTCTTGGCCTTGCCCGAGAGCATGACCTGGAACCGCCGGATCTTGTAAGCCTCGTCGGCGCCGGGCGAGTACTGGATGGCGGACAAGTACTGCTTGAGGCCCACCTTGAGCGACATCTTCTCACTGTCAATGCTGCCCATGGCCGTCAGCAGGTCCGTGGTGGCCTTGGACAGCTGCGAGTCGTCAGGGCGCCGCTTGGTGTTCTCCTGGTGCAGCGCGAGCAGCGCGGCGTGCAGCTCGTCAATCTTGTTCCAGGACTTGACCGACTTGGCCAGCTCGGCAGTCAGCTGGCCCTGCGCGCGGTCGAGCATGTCGCGCACGCCGTCCGCCTTGGTGCGCTGCTTGCCCGACTCAATCACCGCCTTGGTGCGAGCCGCCTCGGCCGCCTGCGCCTGCTGCTGCGCCGCTGCGAGTTGTTGCTGGATCTGGTTGTACTGCGCCGCCGTCTCCACGACGGTCGCCTGCTGCTGCTGCAGCTCTGACTTGAGGTTGCCAACCTGCATCGCCAGCATGCACACGGCCTGGACGGGGTTGAGGTTCTTCTGCGCGAGCGACTGCTGCATGAACTTGACGTGCACGGGCGTGAGTTCCGCAAGCACAGGGCAGTCGCCGACGATCTGTTGAGCGGCCCTGTTCGAGTAGCTCATGGTGTGAGCCGACTGGGTAGGCTGTTCAAAGTGTAACGGAGCGCCCGGGGAGGGCCGAATACACAATGACTAGCAAACGAGGATGTATGTGGTTGAACAGCAGGGAGCGAGAACAAAGTGCGAGCGAGCGGCGGCTCAACAATCCGAGACGTCACAGCGCACGTGCCAAACGCGCACGTGACACCAGTGGCGACCTGAGCTTCAGCCCACGCTGCGCGCTTCGCGCGCCTTTTTGCGTCGCGGCGATCTTCATTAGACTGCGTCAACGTTGCTCCATGTGTAAGAACGTCCGGATCTCTTAGGAGATGGACATGAGCAACGCGCAGCCCGTGCAGCGACTTCGTGGTGAGGCGCAAAGGAAATCGAGCTTTGGGTGGGGTCAGGTGACTGGTCGCTAGGGCCGCGTCCACCAAATCACGTGGACCAGGTTTTTTTCGGGGAGACCACTGGGGTTGAGCCCAGCACAACAATTTTGAAAATTTGCGCATCAATTTGTGAATTGCTCGCTCGCTCCTCAGCACCCCTAATTGGTCATTACTTCGGCCAACGATTAGCAGCACTAAACTTGCGCATCATCAAGTGAAGATAAATCTAGCGCAACGTTTTGTAAACAATTGGACCTGAAGCTGCTGCCCAGGCTGACCTGCAGGCCATTCACTACTCAATAGAGTGAAAAATGATGAAGCCTTGGATATTCTCTCCATCAATATGCAAGGTCCCAGGTTTGCAATGAATTAAAGTTCAGTGCTTAACAGGCACCAACGCCCTGAGGTTGGCTTCAATCACATGCTCAGTGAGCTTAAGCCCAGTTGCTCTGGCCAATGTCAAGGTCAAGGTCAGGATTAAGTGGGGGGATGGGCCAAGTTCACAAACCATGGTAGAATCAGGCCTTAGTTTGCGTGACCACATTTGCATATATATTTTTTGCCCTGGTCATGTGTGATAAGTACATTTTCCTATACTAGAAAAGGTACTTTACAAGGTTAAGTTTAGTGCATGATATAGCTACATGAGGGCGTTCCAGCCTGGTGTTGATATGGCTGGGGCAGGCCACGTTGCCTACAAAGCAGGAGGACAGGAGGATACTGCCTATAGACAACTGGGCCAGCCAGAAAGGAAGGGAGTGGGAGGCAAAGGTTTTGCATTGGGGGTAGGCGCTAGGTGATGCGTTTGTCAGGGCATGTCACAAGGTTGTAAATAATTCTGCATCTTGCTCACAACGCACTGCTGATCTGTCAACTATTTCCAGTGACTGGACTGGCTTTGTAGCTTTGTAGGACGTGAAGCATAGTTGAAAAGACTTTAAACTCCATTGGCGTAACCCTATTAGAGGAGTTACAAAAGTCGCAGCCAGGGAGTTGACCTCTGGGACTCAGCCTGTGACACTCCACCACCACACCAGTCATGCGCTGGCCCATCCACTGCACCTTTCACTTCACCTCTGGCTGTCCAACGTGCACATGCTGTTATTTTGCGCCATTCTTTGCTGGCAGGGCTAATGTGCACCACACCGCTTTGTGCCACAGACGTTGGCTTGACAGCAACACACACATGGTCTTGCAGAAGCGACCTTGGGCCTTGTACGCCGCCTGCGACCATGGTGTCACGCGGCATATGACATCCCATGGCCCGCTGCTTGCTGCGTGGTAGCCACAAGGGCGAGTCCTTATACTCAGTGTGGTGTCTAGCCAGCTACGCGGCCACCGCCTGTCCAGCGTGGTTGACAAGGCTCGGGTGTTGGCCTGCAGCGCGCCCAAGGGTGGATTTTGACGTCTGTACGCAATCATGGCCGTGATGGTGTACTATATGCTGCGCTTGGAACTCGCACTGTCTCAGCTGGCAAGCGTGATGCTCTCGTGACGCTGCTCGGCTATGACTAGCGCAGCAGCAATCCTGTTCAGTTGTTCTCAGTTGATTGTGTGCTGGATATCATGTCCCTTGTACACGTTCATACATTTCTACTCATTGCCTGCGCTGCCTCAGCCGTCGCGCTCCTTGCTAAGCAACAGGGAGAGAGGCGCTGTGCAGCCTCAGGCTTACTGCAGGGAGAAGCTCCTATCTGCCGCAGTCCATGCAACAGCTGCACGTCTAGCCGCTCCGTCCTGAGCCTCATATTTTTGTGAGGTTAGCGTTTGTGGTCAAAGAGGGGGAAGCGCAGGGTGGACAGTCGTGCAGGCGCGGTGGAGCGAGGTGGGCAGTGTGCAGTGCAGGGCAGGGCCCAGAGAGCGCTTCATCAGGTGCTAAATCAGGAGCGTGTATTGCTGCTTGGGCCCGGGACTGCAGGGCCAAAGTCCCCGATGCGCCCTGTAATGCGTCGCTTTATTGGACGCATTTATTGCCCCGCCCGAGACTTGTCGAAATCCTCTATTGAGGAGTTAAACAAGAGGGGGTGTAGCTCAGTGGTAGAGCGCTCGCTTCGCATGCGAGAGGCCCCGAGTTCGATCCTCGGCTCCTCCACTTTTGCCGCCCACCAAGATGTGTTTTTGCAACTGCCTGCCTTTAAACCCTCTATTTATTGAAGGAAGCTAGCGTAAGTGTATCTTTCGCCGACACGGCAAGATGTGTGTGTGTTGGGTAAATATGTGCTTTTCTGGATTGCAGTGACAGGTTCTATCCAATTGCTTGCAGCACAAACAATACCTACTTCCGCTGTGACGGTTTTTGACCACCGCCTTAATTGGTCGCCTCTCATTCGCTCCTGTCAGTCATTGTTTCCATCCTGTTGTCATCCAGAACGTCATACAAGAAAGGAATAGGAACCACAGGCATGATCACAGGTGTACCTACTCTGCCAGCTTCATCAAGGTGGTTGTTGTGCTGCCTTCTTTGCCACTCTCTACTGTTTCATGGAGCAATGCAGCCATCTGAACTGTGGCGCATGTGAATGTGATGCCACTGGTGTCTTGTCTTGCACACATGTGTTTGTGCTTGTGTTTGTGTCTGGAACTACTTCAACCAGAGGGGCAATCCGCCTGGTCCTTGTGGAAGATGATCATTTATTTTGCCACGTAATACTTGCCCATCCAACCACCCCTGGAACCCTGACCTTTACCCATACCCTGTCTGCCAATTTGGTGCAGTACACTTCCTGCTCCATGGCAGGCGCGTGGAGGTAGGCTTTGTGCTTGACAACTGTGTGTGCAAGCTTGCTGCAGGCTTCACTCACTGCCCAGATCCCCCTTGCACAGCTGCACATGGCACTGCAAGAATCCCATCTGCAGCTACACGTGACCATCTCATACACAGAAGTCTTGTGCAGCATCAAGACAAGTAAGTGGTGCGATTCCCTTAGCGTTTGTGGGGTCAGCAAAAAGTGTGGCCACACAACATCCCAGCTCATGCATTGCAACCCGTATGGCATCCATCACCTGCTCAGTGCACTGTCAAACGCAATGTGCTGTGAAGGTCAATGTTTAAGAGCTGGTTTGTGTAGATTGGCTGGCCTACTTGCACATGGTGGCAGTGATGTGTTAGGTGTTGGCCACAGCTTCCTTAATGTTGCAAATGCAATGCTGCAACAGTGTGGTCTCCTGGTGTGCTGCATCAAGTTTTACTGGTGCTGTCAACTTTGGCGTGCCACATTGGGCTCTGCACAAATGCTTGGTAAGGCTCAAGCCATAGACTTCACACTAAGCAGAGTAGAGGCTTTCCACCTGCCAGTAAAAAAGCTGTGCAGCTCAGATCAGCAGCCATCTTGGCGGGGCAGCCATTGAGCAACTCAGGCAAGAGGGCAAGCCAAGTGCTGGTAATTGGCAGGGGCAAGGTACGCTCCGCTCCCAAGCAGTTTCAGGTAGTGGGGCGCGGTTACATAAATGAGTGAGTATATTTTATTGCATTGCGTTGGGAGAGCGACAGCTTCCTGTCCCCACTTCCTCCTTCCAGCTGACTAGAAGAGTTGCGGAAAGTCCAGTACTGGACTTCAAGCGTTAGCTGGATGAGGGGTGAGCGGCAGCACCGCAATGCACAGGGAGCGGGCCAAAAAAAAAAAAAATAAAATAAAATAAAATAAAAAAAAAAAAAATAAAAAAAAAAAAATAAAAAAAAATAAAAATAAAAATAAAAATAAAAATAAAAATAAAAAGAAAAATAAAAAAGAAAAAGAAAAATATAACAATAAAATAAAAATATAAAGGGCCCGCGCGCAACTCGAGTCCCTCACTTTTCTCAGGCAGCCGAGCGCGGTACCAGAGTTTGAGAGCAAACCTCAGCTTCGTTCCCACTAATTCTTCAGCCGCTCGCAGCCCTTGATGGCTGGTGTTCCATGCCGCGACTCGTTTGTGCATGTTCTCAGCAGTAGGCTGAGTTTCTCCCAAACTGAATTCGGCTTGAAGCTGGGCTATCAGTAAACTCAACTTTGTGCTGTTCTCCACGTGATGCTCCCGCCTCCGACTCCAGCTACAACCTCAAAGCTACGACCCCTTGTTCTCCAAATTTGATTGTAACCCTGACTGTCCAACTTCCGGCAATATCTTTGGCTCTCCCTAAGAAAAAAATTCTGACACTACTCTCTTCCCGCTCTGACCACCAGTACTCCAGTTCTCTCTGTTGCTGAGCCCTCCAATATCCGCCCTTCTACCTCCGCATTTCCAACGCTTCTGGCTACTACTCAGTGCATTAAAGCTCCAGCTTGGACGGTTTCGCGCCTCTGACTCCACGACCAGCTTGATTTGGCCGCGAGGCTCTGAACAGGACGGTGGTGGCATAGCGGGTGGCGCAGCAGGGTGGTGGCGCAGCAGTGGGAGACGCGTCACCAACTGACTGCTCCAATCTCTGCCTCATGCACTCTGACTCCAACTCGAGCTCTAGCGCTCCAACTCCATGCATTAGTTTCCACTGCCTCTGATGAAAATTCCTATACTGTTCGTATGACTAGGCGATCTGCTGAGTCAGTTTTGAGGTGAGTGGCGTGCTGGAGTGGAAGCGCACCAATGTCTCCCACTGCTGCACCTGGCTGCAAGACATTAACCATCGCGAGATACGCCGCGCTTTGACTAATCTGAAAGAGATCCTTGACTTTGAATGAGTTGATCTTGTCCGCAATTCCACGTGGTCTGAGCTGGTCAACGGCGACTCACAACCTTGGAACTGGTGCAATAGTTGGCGCACAAGGGAAACCGACAGCCAGCCATGAACGTTCAAACTGATGCCAAAGTTGGACGCGAAGGGTGGGTCGCGCTGGACACGGCATCCGCAGGCCTATAGAGTGCTGTAAGTTGGAGTGGGGACGCCATTGGGTGTCAATCAAAACCCCGTTTTCAGGCAGGTAAGGTGCCACGTGAGCGGCAGCGCAGGTTGCAGCCCCACCCGCGTGCGAAAATCAGCTCCCCTTCGCTGAGCAACGCAGCTTCAGCGCTGGGACTTTTTTGGTGGGTGAAATAAATGCTTGGCAATCATTTTATTAAACAAACCTGTAACTCGCACACTTGGTTGAAGCCAGCTAAGTAAAAATGCAGCAAGGTGATGGCGCAACAAGCACCTTCACTTGCGCGGCAACTTCCTGCTTTCTTCGCAGCTCAAAAACGGGGTTATGATTGACACCCATTGCCACGTTGCACTAACTAAAACCCAGACTGGAAATATATTTTTTCTTGGCACACATGAGTAGAGGGTATATCCTGGTGATGGAGTAACATCTAGTGCCCTTGCGTTTGGATGAGGAGGTTCTGGTTAAATTACAGCTATGCAGAAATTCCTGGAATTGGCAGGAACTTTCTTAGAAGTCAGTCCTTTTGGTAGCTCAATTCTTCTCCCTGAGCATTTTATTTTCGTTCTTTGCACTGACCATCTGCCTCTCACCGCTCTCTGCCTGCTTGCCCCCAGTCATCCAAGTTCCGCTCCTCCCCTCTCTCAAGACCACGTGCGGAAAGGCTCCCCCATGTTGGGGAATCGGACAAAAACAAATCCGCTACAGCGTTTCTATCCCTACAGCAGGTGCTTGCTCTTGACCGCGCTCTTTGACGCGACCTTTTGTGTTCAGATAACTTCAAAATCTTATACTATCTATATAATGCTAAATAGTTCCCAGAACGCAGGCCGCCTTAGCTCAGTGGTAGAGCGTTGCTCTCGTAAAGCAAAGGCCGGGTGTTCGATCCTCCCAGGCGGCAACGTTTTGCCGAACCCCTCGGGGTATACCTTGGTTGAGTTTGCAGGGAAAGGTGAGTATTCTTGTCAGCCACGGGAGGTCCTGAAAGAAAAAGGGAATCACTCTTGGCGCCTGTTTAGTTGATGTTGGGTGCCACGTCAGATCCAAACTGTAGGAAAAGCAATGGTTGGGGGGGGGGAGGGCTTGGCAGCGCCAGCCAGCTTTGTGCAAAAAGGTGATGATAATGACCCACCAAGGTTGGCAGGACCGGCTGCAGCAGTTGTGGATGCGCCCTTTTACCAGCAACAGGACTGATTGGCTAGCGTGCTAGCATGGAGAGGAGCAGTAGGAGCCTCCTGTGGTGGTTTCAACAATAGAGGAGTTGCGGAAGTCGTGGTCCCCAACTTGAAACCCGGGTTTTGGGTCACGTGACCGCCCAAAACTGGTTTTCACCGCGCCAGATCGTGGCGACCCGGACCTGGACCTTGAGCTTCCCGCTCGCCTCTCCACCCCCGCACCCCTAATAAAACAAAATGGCAGCTGATGGAGCTCTCGCACTTGGTGAAATGGACCTCGACCTTGACCTCAAGGACCTAGAAGCTCTCTGCGACCTGCTTGAGGTCTTGCAGCTCATGCTGCAGCTGCGCGGCCTTGTTCAACTTCACGGACAGCGTTGAGCAGAGCAGCTTCAGCTCCTGTACGAGCACCAACTCGCGGTCAATATCGAGAACCGCGACGCCTTCTACGCGATCAGGGCGCGCAATTGCACTCGCTTTCGCGGCCGCTTCGACCTGCGCCGGTTCACCCCTGAGGACTGCTTCTATCAGTTCCGCCTTTTCCCCCAACACATCGTCTACCTCGCCCAGGTCGTCTTCCCCGAGCCCAAGGTGATCCTTCCCAGCAAACGTCTCGACCGCGTGGAAGCGATCTGCCTGATCCAGCGCCGACTTGCGCACCCAGGTACTCTCATTGACCTCGAGGCCTTCTTCCCGTACGACGAGTCTCGACTCTCGCGCATCCTCAACGACCTGTTCCTCGAGTTCCACGACCGCTGGGATCACCTGCTGGACTTCAACCCAGGCGCCTTCACGCCCGCCATGCTTGAGGACACGGCCGCGTCCATCCAGGCCAAGGGCGCGCCGCAGAACAATTGTATTGGCTTTATCGATGGCACTCTGCGCAAGATCGCGCGACCTGACGATCACGACATGCAACACGCGGTATACAGCACGTACAAGCAGATTCACTCACTCAAGTTTTACTCGCTGGTCGCGTCAAACGGCCTCACGCTTGACTTTAGTGAGGCGCAGCTGGGTCCAACAAACGACCGTTGCGTACTCGCCAAACGCCGACTCCAGGAGGCACTGCGCATGCT